TGTGCATGGCCCCGTGCCAGGCGTCTAGACGCCGTGGCCGCACTCGGAACGATTAGCAAGCGTGGACCCCCAATCGTGCTTCTAGCTATTTACGTCGTGATGCACTTTATGAGGGGCAACATTTGTGATGTAATCTTTGTGGTGCAACATGGGGTGCAACATGCGTGGTTCAAATAATTTAGGTTCGCCGTGAGATTCCCGCTCCAATGCTCGCGCAAACATCCCGCACACCCACCCGCAATTTAGTTTGCAAACCCCACGCGGCGGCTAATGCGATGAGTGCTTGGCGCTGGCTGGTGCATCTCTGCAGCGCGTTAGTCCGCGCATGCTCGCGCGCGCGGCAACCAGCTAGCTTTGCGCGACCGACGCGAAAGCGGTGGCGCTGGCCGCTCGACACATGCCAACGGGCACTTCAGTGCAAGTGGGCGACTTGGGCCGGCGCGGTATCATGGCAACGTCGACAACGGTAGACGCGACGATGATGGTAGCGATGCTGGCGACGATGCTGACAGCGACGACAGGGCAGCCAGTGACGGCGCCGATGCTACTCACGCCGACGACGATGACGGCGTCTTCGCGTCGGCGATGAAGGCTTTGGACGGCGATGAAGGTTTTGAACGGAAGTCGGCATGCGCGCGCGGCAGACGGGCGAAAGAAGCTCGCATAATATTATTGGACACGGACCGTGCCACCCCAGCACGCGCGCAAGGGCGTTCGGACGATTTCGACATGCGCGCGTGCGAAGCCCGCTTGGTAGCATTGCGTGAAAAATGTTGATCCACTCGTGGTTTTCTTTACAATTGTTAAATGCGCGCGCGTTTGTTGAAAATCCGCGTCGATTTCGAAATCCATCCGGGATCTGAACTTTTTGAAGGATTTCGGCACGCGCGCGCGACACGACGCGCGCGCGCACTCCGACTCATTTTTTGCAAGGAAAGGATTCTCGCGACGGCACGCGCGCCTGGGCGTTCGAACGATGCCGACATGCGCGCGCGACGCCCGTTTGGTGGTGCTTTCTGACAAAGTTCATGACCCGACGGGTGTCTTCAAAATTCGCAAGAACGCGCGCGTGTTCTCTTTTTGTTATGAGAATCCACGCTGCGATATCATTTGGTTTTTACATGTTGCTTCGGCGACCGGAACCAATGATTTTTAAATGCTTACGAAATGCGCACGCGACGACGCGCGTGCACTTCGTCACTTTCTTTCAAGGGACTCTTGAAAACGTATGATTGTTGATCGGCGAGCGCGCGCCCGCAAGGTTTTGTGCAAACGATCCGGGGGGGGAACCGATAAAGGCCTAGCAGGGATAATAAGAATTCGCAGGTCGGATGGGCACTGGGCCAGAACCATGCGTGTTTTGCTTCGGTCCCCCTGAATCTTCAACCCCAAGGGGGGTAGAACCTGTCTTGCTTTTTTCCGTTAGAAAAGAAAGAAACTCTACGTGGTACGATCTATGCTACGCCATCTATGTTGCACAATCTATTTCCTGCGATATGGAATGCGCAGTCTGCGTGATGCAGGAACTGTAGCGCAATCAGCGTGGCGCAAGCCCCGCGGTGCAACGCGCGCGTTGCAGCCTACGCTACGCAATGCGGTTGAAGCAAGTTCTGCAAACCATGCGGCGCAGTATATGCGGCGCAACCTCTGTGGCACAACTAATGTTTGTTCGCAGTGACTTGTCCACAGGTCCACTGCTCGGTCAAGCGCCCCCGCCCGCCCACCCGCCACTTGGTTTACAAACCTCATGCGACTTTGGCCTGGCGCTGGCTGGTGCATCTCTGCGGCCGCGCCAGCCTGCGCACGCGCGAGCGCGCGCGGCGGCCAGGTAGTTTGGCGCGACCGACGAGGCTGCGGCGGTGCTGACCGCTCGGCACATCCCACAGAGCACTTGAGTGCGAGTCGGCGGCTTGGGCGGGTAAGGAATCCTGACAGCGTCGACCACTGTGGACGCGATGGCGATGATAATGGCGATGTTGGTAGGCGCGATGATGGACATAGTGGCGATGATGGCGCCGATACTGATCACGCCGACGACAATGACGTCGTCTTCGAATCGGCGATGAAAGTTTTGGACGGAATTCGACATGCGCGCGCGTCAGACGCGTGAGAGTCGCCCGCATGGTGTTTTTGATCACGGATCGTGCCACCCCAGCACGCGCGCAAGGGCGAACGATTTCGACATGCGCGCGCGAAGCCCGCTTGGTAACATTGCATGAAACATGTTGAAAAAACAATGACTTTCTTTAGCGATAGCAATAACGCGCACACTTTTTTATATTGAAAACCGTGTAGCGGAACCATGTATGTTTGCATGTGTGTTGGACGCTGGGGTTTTGGACTCCTCCCGAAACCAAGGGTTTTTGACGGATTCCAGCATGCGCGCGCGACGAAGCGAGCGCACTTCGCCGCATTCTTTTGCAAGGGATTCTCGCGACGGCACGCTCGCAAGGGCGTTCGAACAATATCGGCATGCGCGCGCGACGCCCGGTTGTAGCATCTTCTTGGTAATGTTGAACACAGATGGTTTTTTTCTTGAGAACTCGCAAGAACGCGCGCTCGCTTGCATTGGAAACCCCCGTTGCGAAACCATGCGTTTTACATGTTTGTATTACGCTCGATGTTGAAATCCTTCTAAAATGATGTCGGCATGCGCTCGCGACGACGCGCGAGCGTGCACTTCGTCGCACTTGTTGCAGGGGGTTCTCCGAAACTACTGATTTTTGCTCGCGCGCATTTCTGGTTGGAGGGGAACCGATGGGGGGGCCGATGTCGGTCTGGCTGGGACGATGCGAATTCACAAGGTAGGATTGACATTGGGTCAGAATCATACGCGATATACGGGAGCGGCAAAGAGGGGGGTGTCCAAGAGGGGGGGTGCAAATCATGACCGGCGGCATGTGCGCGGCCAAGCGGGGGGGCCAGGGCCGTAATGAAACAAGAAGAGGCGCCGTGAAGCCTGGGGAAAAATCGTGGCCCGCGCCCTGAAATCCACTCCCCCCCCCTGGTCGTCACCCTCCTCCTTTCCGCCCCCGAGATAGACATGGCGCAAGCTGTGCGGCCGAATCCGCGCGGCGCAGGTCCACGCGGGGCGGCAGCGGGGCGGCGGCGGCCGCGCGCGGAGCCGCAGTAAAGGAAAATCAGGACACACAAATAAATGCACACAAATAAAAATAGTCCCCATATTTTCCCATATTTTCTGGGTTTTTGTCTTCCCCCCCAATTCCAATATTTTCCCATATTTTCCTGGGAATCGAGGATTAATTGTGTCTGTGTGGTTTTTTCCCTCCTGACGCAGGGCCGCCCCCGAAGGCCCAGACCGACGCGAAACGCGACGGGGCGGCGACGGGCACGGCGAAGCGCCAGGCCCGGCAGACAGACCCACCGCGACAGGGCGGCGGCGGGGCGGCGCGACGGCGGGCCCGCGGTCGCAGGACTCTGAAGGGGAACTGGGACACACAAATCAATACACACGAACAAGAATATCCCCATGTATTTTCCTATAGTTTCTGGGTTTTTGTCTTCCCCCCCCACTTCCCATATTTTCCCATATGTTCCTGGGAATCGCCGATGAATTGTGCCTGTGTGTTTTTTTTTCTCTCCTGGAAGACCGGCATCCAGGCCCGGACGACGGGCGGCGACGAGGCGGCGACGGGGCGGCCGGCGCCGGCGGGCGCGCAGGCGCCCGAGAGGCACGCGGGCGCGACGACGGGCGGCGACGGCGCGGCGACGGGGCGGCGCCGGCGGGCGCGGAGCCGCCAGACGGCGCAGGGGCGCATCCTCAGAAAGCAACAAGAATCCCACCAGCCCTTTGGGCGTGAGTGGTTTAGAGAGCCCGCTCTGTCCTCAACCCCCCTTCTTCCCCTTCGGGGAGGGGTTTACCCCTCCCCCTACCCCCTCCCCCTGGGCCTGGAGAGGGACCCTGGGCCCCCTCCCCCTGGGCTGGTGGGGATACGCGAAGCGTAAAGAATTCCAACTCTGTCCACGCGATCATTTTTGCACCCCATATACTCCAGATTTCGCAAGAAAAGGGAGGGGGTCTGGACCCTCCAAGACAAGCCATTTCAGACCCCCCCCGTGGGAGGACCCTCCAAGACATCGTCCCCAGACCCCCCCAGGCCCTCCGAGATAGCCTGGAAGAGACCCCCCCCGAAATGAGACCCCCCTCCCTTTCTTACGAAATCTGGAGTAATGAATCTGCCCGCCTCCGGCCCGCTCGCAGGGCCGAGCGCCGCCTCGAAAGAAGCTCCGGGTGCGCGCGCAGCAACGGCAAAGGCTTGACCGACGCACGAGACGACGGCAGCCTGCTCCGCCCCAGTCTGCCGCATATCACCCTCGGCCCAGGCCTGCCCTGGCAGCGGCTCGGAGCGCTCGTCGACCGCGCGACGCTCCGAGGGACCGGCGCCCAGCGCGCAAGATCCTGTAAAGGGGCCCCAGGACACACAAATAAATACACATAAATAGAAATAGTCCCCATATTTTCCCATATGTTCTGGGTTTCTGTCTTCCCCACCACTTCCCATATTTTCCCATATTTTCCTGGGGGTCGACGATTAATTGTGTCTGTGTGTTTTTTCCCCTCCTGATCCTGGACCGCCCGCCGCGGGCAGCTTTTCGAAGTCGCCGGCACGCGCGTTGCCAACGTCGCGCCCGACCTCCCCCGCGCGGGCAGAGGGGGGCAGTCGACGCGTAGGCCCCCCGGCGAACCGCGCCCCCATGGCCCACGCCAAGATGGAACTGGAAATGGAAGGGGCCCTAGGACACACAAACAAGTACACACAAACAAAACAAAAAAACACAATTGTTCCCCTATTTTTTTTCTGGGTGGTCGCCTTCCCCCCCCCCACTTCCCATGCTTTCCCCTATGTTCCTGGGGATCGACAATGAATTGTGTCTGTGTGTTTTCGTTGCCCTCCTGAAGCACTTCCCACCGCGCCAGGGTCGCCAAGCGCTGCTCCGAGCGCGGGCCGGGCAACCAAGGGCCCGCCGCGGGCGGGCAGCCCCGCGGCGGCCGCGCAGAACGCATCCTTCCTAGTACTGTCACTATTCTTCTTTCTCTTCCTCCTGCTCCTCTTCCTCCTCCTTCTCTTCCACCTCCTCCTCTTCCTCCTTCTCTTCCACCTCCTCCTCTTCCTCCTCCTCCTCCTCCTCCTGCTCCTCCTGCTCCTCCTCCTCCCCTCCCCCTCCCCCTTCCCCTCCTCCCCCCCTTCCCCTCCCCCCCCTTCCCCTCCCCCTCCCCTTCCCTTTCCCCCCCCCCCCCCCCCCTCCCCCTCCCCCTCCCCCTCCCCCTTCCCCCTCCCCCTCCTCCTCCTCCTCCTCCTTTTCCTTCTCCTTATGAATAACTTCTCCCTGTCGCACCCCGAGGCCAGTTTTTAGGGCGGGCCGGGCGTTTCGCCTGAGATTTCCTCACCATATATGACCCTGAAGCTTATACAGTGACAACAGTTTCAAGGATTGAGGGCGGGTCGTCATCAACATGTGGCTCTCGCCTCAGCGCCGCGCACATTCGTTTTCAAAATTTGCAAGTGCTTCACGGATGAAGGGCGGGTCGTCATCAAAATGTGGCTCTCGCCCTAGCGCCGCGCACATTCGTTTTCATCATTTGCAAGAACTTCACGGATTGAGGGCGGGTCGTCATCAAATGTGGTTCTCGCCTGAGCGCCGCGCACATTCGTTTTCAAACGATGCAAGAGTTTCACTGATTCCCATGATCAACGTTTACCAGCAATGGCGTTTGGGAAAGATTCAGGATTATGCGGGTGATACAATTATGTTGATTCGCGGTTTTGAACTCCCAAAAATGGCGCTCTGGCACGATTCCAGATCGTCAAGACGAAGAAATCAGGCTCAATGTTTGAGCATGCTTCAGGATCTTCAAACGGTTGTCTTCAACGAGGCAGTCCCCTCAATGGAAATGCACCGTTGTAGGGGCCCAGAAGAGGGAAGTTGGAGGGAGGGTTAATTCCACCATCGTTGATGACTCTTGGGTTTATACTGGTCCTCCTCCTCCTCCTCTTCCTCGAATCAGCGGTACATCGCCGATTGATATGCGAGGGCACCCGCGTAATCCCAGGCGGGGTGGGCCATCAGGCCCCTACTGGCAACCACTGGGCGATTCGGGTGTCAATACGTTCCCCCCTGAGCCTCTCTCCTTCCCCCTTTATTGGAACGCAAGGAGACATACTGACATGAGAATTTCTCCTCGGAGGCGCGCGTGCTACGCGAAGATATAGTATACCCATCTTGTAGTACATCGTTCTCCAAGCGGGGTGGTCCGAAAGCGCCCGCCACGACGCATACATACTATAAGAGTTCTCGGTGCGCGCGCCGCCCCTGCAGGGCGCCGCACGTGTAGTAGAAGTACGTTGGGGTGACGCCGACCTGACGTTGCCCCCTCGACCTCCTCAACGCAGGCGGCGTGGGGGGGGCAGGAGAGCCCAGAATCGAATCGACAAGCCGGATCGGCGATCGAAACGAGCTAGTAGATCAGCGGAAATCGGCATCCGAGTCGGTCGAAGTCGAATCGGCGGAAATCGGCAGGCCAAAAATGCCTCCAATGAGAAGTCGGCAGCCGCATCGGAATCCGAAGCCGAAACCGAATCGGAACCGGAAGCCACCGAAACCGGCATCGAATCGAATCGGAGGACTCGAAACGAGCCCAAGCATGCTGCGTGGGGCGTCGGGGATCTTCTGACCCGGGTCAATCCAGACCGCGCCAGTCGGGCCTCGCAGCATCCTGCAAGAGCCTGCACCCCAGCCCCGGTCCGTGCGCAGGATCCTGCAGGCTCGTGCAGGATCCCCTGCGCCCAGGCCAGGGTCGATGCGACCCTGGCCCTGCAGGATCCTGCCACATCGGGCGCTCTGGCTGACCCCCGTCTGCACTGACCCCCGTCTCAAGTTGAGCAGGGACCGACCGTCCCGGCATTCCTAGGGTCCTACCACGAAATGTTCTCAGAACCTGGAGATGTTCTAAGAACAAGAACCATGTTCTTAGAACATCAACCCGATGCGCGAAAACAACGCAGCCTCCGCCAGAAATGGTCCTAAGAACATTTCGTGGGAACCACAAAAAAAGGTTCCTAAAACATTGTCTGATATTTAGGGCTACAGGCGAGCCGGGACGCTTCGCCACTGCTTGAGTCTCAAGGCTCCCGCGGGGGCTTCTCCTCTCCTCTTTCTCCTCCTCCTCCTCCTCCTCCTCCTCCTCCGTATGCTTCTTCTCCTCGTTCTCCTCCTCCTGCTTCTCCTCCTGCTTCTCCTCCTCCTCCTCCTCCTCCTCCTCCTGCTCGTCCTCCTCCTGCATCCCCCTCATCATCATCATCGTTCCCCTTCTCCCCCTCCCCCTTCCCCTCCTGCTCGCCTCCTCCACGCCCTCCTCCACGAAGCCGCACCCTCGGGGGGGGGGGGGGCGGCCTGGTCCGGCTCCAGCCCGCACGAGACCATGTGGTGCAGGCAGGCCTCGCAAAAGGGGCGGGCGGCCGCGGGGCCCGAGGGGGGGGCGCGGCGGGGCCGGGTCGGAGCGGCGGCGGCAGGAGCGGAGCCCCGCTGCGGGAGGGCCCGCCCCCTCCCCCCCCCAAAAAACCCACACGACGGCCGACGGGGAGCGTCTTCGAATCATTGGGCGGGAGGGGGGGGAAGAAACACAAAGGGAAGGGGGGAGGGGAGAACCCACACAGAGGAAAAAACACACACAACACACACATATATATATATATATACTCTAAACACACGCTGAAAAAAAAAACATATACACAAAGACTGTGAACAAAAACACAGACAGCGTGTGTGTTTCCACAGTGTGTGTGTGTGTGTGTGCGTGTGTGTGTGTGTGTGTGTGTTGTTGATCCACAGTGTGTGTGTTCTTTTTTCCACAGGGGGGGTCTGGCTGCGGACCTCTGCTTAGTGCGACTGTTTGCAACAGTGCGCCCTGTGTGGGAGGTTCCCCACTTAATCGGAGCAGGCGCCAAAAAGAGCAAAGATCTACTCCACGAGAGGAGGGGGGGTGAGGGGGGTGCGAGGACCCGCGCAGATCGGCAAAAAAAAGAAAACGAACACATGTTGCAAAAGCGACGTGTCGTCTTAATCGGAACCATCAGCGTACACTGCCCCGGGAGAACATCCTTCGGAGCGCAAAGGCACAAATCAACGGCACATGGGTCGGGCGACAACAAGAGCGTGCTGCTGTTCAAGAGGCACAGGGCTGCTGCAGCGGATTGGTAACACGCACGATCTCAATGACGGCGCCCCACCAGCGTGGGCTGGGCCCCACTGTGGGAAGCCGGGCGGGGGCTGCTAAGACCGTGGCCGCTAAAACGGCCCTCCCTGAAGGAAAAACAACTTCCTGGAATGAGGCGCGGCACGCGAAACAGTCAACGGGCTCCTTCCCCGAAGGACGAAGATTATGTTGTTCCCATCGTACTTAAGGCCCACATCCCAGAAATAATTTCGAGCACCCAGGAAAGTCTCGAAATAGTGTCGAACGAGTATGGCCTCCCAGGACCCGACACGTGAAAACCGTGGAGCCTCGGTACTTTCCTGGTGCTCGAAATTATTTCTGGAGATCAGGGCTAAAGTAGGCTGAAACATCATAAGACGAAGACAACTTCCCGGAGGTCGATGTTAGCAGCCACGGATTTAGCAGACCCTGCCCGGCTTCCGACACATGGCCGAATTACCCCCCCGATTGGGGATGCA